GAGGATTAAATTTTTTATGCTTTTTAAGCTCAAAAAAGTGGGGGTCGTATTATACATGAGATCATATTAAACACGTGATCATATTATACATGAGATCATATTAAACATGTGATCATATTATACATGAGATCATATTATACATGAGATCATATTAAACATGAGATCGTATTATACATGAGGTTGTATTATACACAATAAATATGGTAATTTAAAAAAGCTTGAGGTAAATTCTCCTTAACATTTTAGTGTACAATTTTACTGTACATAGATAAAATACTCTCAAACACAGTATTTGAGAAAATCCAGCCACCGTTTGTCAGTTTAAAGACTTTTTTCTGGAGAACTCTGTACTGGTCTGTCGTGGTTCAGGGTATGTTCCTACCCTCACCTACGGCCACGAACTTTGGGTAGTAACCAAAAAACTGAGAACGAGATTAGAGGAAATGAAGTTAGCTGGACTCTCCCTCAGTGACAGGTTTACCTCTGTACTACAACTTGCTTCAGCAAACATTTTGTCTTTTTATGCTACTTTTAGCTTTTATTTATTGATTTGCAAATATATAAACTGTTCCGTTTGTTTTATCTACAGTTTTGCTCATTTTAGCCTTTAGCTGCCATTTTGCTACCTTTTAACTACGTTTGTTCATTTTAACATCATTTAGTTAATTTTAGCTACTGATTGCTGTTATTTACTCTTCTGATCCTTTCATCCTCTCTTCTGCTGTTGTTAGTATTTAACCACTGTTGCTACTTTTAGTTTTTGTTGTTGTTTGCTGCTTTAGCTTGTGTTCTGCTCATTTTAGCTTCACTTGTTTTAAATTTAACAAGTCAGTTTTAGCTTCTTTAGCAGTCTGTTCAGCATCACACCACATTGTTAACGAAAGTTCAGCTTCTCTGGATCGAGTCAACATCTCTTGAATGAATGCAACCGTGCAGGATAAAATGGGTTTTAATACCAGCAGATAACTTTTGCTGTTTATTTTCTTTTTTATGTTTTTACAGACAGAACACAGCAGCGTCTGAACTTTACCTTGGCAGTGGCTGAAATGACCCTGAACCGTTCTGTGGAGGTCCTGCAGACCATCACCCCCATCAGCAGTAAAGTGGAGGAGTGGGCCGGCAACATGAGGAACAATGAATACTCCACAGCTGCTTACGAACAGGCTGTTGCCTCTGCAGGAGAAGCAGGTAGAAAGTTCTGTTCAGCTGATATTTAACTCACCGTGTACAGACGCTGCCCCAACTTCAACCTGAGAAATGACTCAATTTAATAAGCCCTAAGGGGTTTTAGAGGTAATTTCCGCCTGAAAATACACAGCAAAATAAATCAAGAATAGCTCCACAGTTATAAAGTCTAAATGCTAACTCTTGGTACCTCTGAAGATCTAAAAGATAATTTCTTAAGTGAAACCACTATTGTAACTCTTATGGTGCGTTCACACCAAACGTGATTTCAGCATCAGGAGCAGCAGGTTTACATACA